TGAGAAGGCTTGTTCATCACTTCTTATTGATAAAGACATTAACTGGCAACCGCTGCAGGGCTTGAACTATTTGAGGCTCATAATGTGCATGGATAGGTCAAAGTTTAGCATTTCCTTGAATCGTCATGTAAATAACTAGGCGCATTCTTCAATCTCTTGTTCAAGAAATAGTTAAGAAATTAAGAAATGCGATTTCACGTCAATGCTTTGTCTAAAATGAAGCTCTCTTCGAACTAATTTATATCCTAACACAGAATAATAGGGCAACGTCACCGATTTGGTGTTTAACTGATTTCTCTGGCCTTTTAATCGACTAAAATTGCGGTAGTGTTTTAAAGCCATTTATTCATTTGCTTAAAACTTAATTTTGTTTACATTCTGGATTCCATGACCATTGAAGACATAAAAGACGCGATCCATCATGTACAAAAATGAAACCTTCAGGAGTAGGCATCACATCGTTGCGTCGCCTATCGCACAATATGTTTGGCCAAATTGGTGAATGCCTCTCAAATCCCGAAGACTTTGGAGTCCTCTGTATCTGACACGTAGTTTGGCTCTCCAGTGTAGTGTGTTGGCTCTAGAAGTAGCGGCTCCGCCGATAATGCAACCAGATCGCGTGGTTCGAAGTTCTTGAGCCACTCCTTATTCGGATGTCGATCGAACATGATGGGCAAGTACTCATCAACGGCAACAATCTTCTGGAGAGGACGCTGGTTAATAAGCTTGATCGCCCCGCTCCTGCGAAGCGCATAACCTAGAGTCCAGTATGTGTAATCGGGATGCGCAAGCATGCTGGACCCTGCGACCTGTCGTTCATTCTTGGACATGCGTTTCCGGCCAATGTATATCAGCTCCCAGTCTGGACGAATGCGGTCTGCTTCAGCCATAACTTCGCGCAGGCTGCGACGGAAGCTGGGTGCCAGGCGCACGTCATCCTCTAATATAAGGATGCGTTCGTAACCTTTGTCAATCATTTCCTGTGCGCGGTGAATAAAGGAAGAATGCATACTAGGTTTGTAAGCTGAACTGATTACAGTAACTTGCTTCTAAAAAGACTGCGAGACTACTAGGCTCCTCATTTAATAATTAACTAGAGAAAAATAATTCTATCCTTAGTATCCAGATTGTTACTAATTTACTAGATATTTTGATTCGGGAGTCAGGGCATTAAAAATTGCAATAGTTTCCATTATCTCAACCTCAGGAGGGGATCTGTCAAGTTTGATATTAAAAAACATCGACTTTAGACGAACTGAATAATCCTTGATCTAAAGGGTGAGGACCAAAATGGTGTGGTAATAAGTATGGCAAGGCCAACTAACGATACCGGCAGCATGTAGGAATACAAGAACACTGGAAATTATCATTGGTACTATGACAAAAGTCTCAGAAAAAGATGCATTTATATAGGTCTCTGAAAATATGAGAAAGTTGGGTAGAGATCAAACCCATTCCAAATAATCTTTGGCTGGATAACGAAGCATGAAGGTAATGGATAAATCACAGCATTCTATACGCCAGCAACCCGAAAGTCTATCGAACTTTAGTACTCAGATATTTCAATATAACTAGAGATTGAGGCCTGCTATAAGTGAGAATAAAACATCCTAGATAAGCCCAGGACTGGTGGATACAGAACGCAAGTGACCGAGGATAGGTCTAGATTTAGTTGCCAAATCTCTTAGAGGTGGGTTGACATCATTGTCGCAACTTGGTCTTGTTGTCCGGGGGACTTAGTAGAACGCACTTAGTCAGAAGTCCTCTGCCATAGTAGTTATCATAATTCCCAGAATCAGACAATGGAATTGGTACATTCTAAAACGTTTCGCCGACATCAGTGATTGCTGCCATTCTCGGCATCAAGCTACGAACTCGTCAAAGAGACAAGTGAAGTCAATTCTTACACCAACGTTTTTCCCCAAACGGTTTCACTATAACTCCTCTTTATGTACTGGCTTATCTATATACTCTACCTTCTTATCAAACTCCTGCCCTATCACATTTTCTCACTTGCTCACATTCCACTCGTCAAAATATGCCCTTTTGTGGCAACTAATATGTCCTCATCACACCTGCTATTCACCCCAACCCCCTCTCTTTCGATCGGCTAATCCGACTCGGGCCTGCAATCCCCTCATGGTCCCATAGATCCGTTTCTTATCTTTCTGGTTGACCGATTTCACTCGGGTCGAGTCCATGTGTGCATTTCACTTCAGGAGCTATTTCTCAAGGCCCTAGAAGCACGTACACTGCCGCCTCACCTAGCAGAGCGCCTAGGCTCTGATTGCCATGCTTGCAGATATCAGGGGTTGCCTTCACGGGTCGTCGCCTTGAT